TTGAATGAAAAATGAATGTTTTACACAAATGAAATTTTTTTAGTTATTTCCTTACTTTACCTGTTGAAATTTTGTTTGTTTGACATTTAAATGTTTATTTGTCAACGTTTCGACAGTTTTTACTGATATTTTTAAGAAAAAGAATTTTATAAATGTATAATGTAAACATCACAGAAAGAGAAAGAGATAAGGAAAACGAAAATGTTTACTGTTGGTTAGTCATAGCCATGCAGGACAGAACACGGCTAGCAGCTCTGTCATTCAGACGATAACAGTAGTATAAGCTCATATTAGTGAATTTATAGAGAAGGTTTCAACTGAAAATGGATATCCTTCAAACTTCATCACACATCATAAAAGAAACACACGAAACAGATATTACGAGAAACAAAATAGGACAGGTAACTGGAACGAAAACCCATCAATTAACAAAAGATGTTACCAAAAAGAACAACTTTTCATTGACATTCCATTTTTGGGAAAGCAAAATAAAATTCGCGGAAAGAAAGTTATTACTCTTGTTAAACACATTCGTCCTCAAGCGCATATTCAATCTATCCCTCGTCCTCCACCAGCCGTTTGTATGTATTTCTCTCAAAAAGCCATCTTACATGGGTAAAACAATCAGACAAGCCTCAAGAAAATTTCGAGAACGTGGTGGTCATCAAACAGCAAAACCTCCTCAACCAAATCTTTTAACAACCGACTCTGCTTCATAATTACGCCGATCTGAAAGAAACAAAGGCAAAACAGCTATTGCTTATTTTCCAAAGGAAGAGCTCATCGATGAACTAGGCAGAGATAGCGATCAAGAGGAGGAAACAAGATTGGTTCATAGGAAACATGAAATCGAAATAAAACACAAGATTGACTGATCAGGATAGAAAAAACTTTCGTAGCATTCCAAAAGTCATCGTTTGCTAGTACGTGAATCACTAGCAATACTTCACCGACAACCAACTTTAAATAAAACTTTATGCTCAGGTTTATGCAAGTGTCAAAACCAACGGTTAAAATGAAACAGTATTCAAATATACGACCGCGCACCGGAGACGTGCAGTAATATGAGCTCATATTACTGTTATCATCATATTACTGTCGTCTGAATGACACCCAGATAAAACATAACTGACATTTAATGAGCCATGTAATGTGTTTTAAATGTATGCCAAAACAACTGGCTTTTAACATCCAAATAGACTATTAACAGGCCATTCTTCAGTTGTAAAATATACAGTGAAAAAACGGATATTTAAAATGGCTGTTTCATTCACCCTTTTATGTTACAATTATGACTGATATATGTATATATGTCACTGAAACTTGAAAGAAATTTGCAAATTTTTCACGTCTCCGATTGTACAGATCATCGAAATTTGTCTCGTGGAAGTCGTCACTCGTTCTGGACCTAGTGCTATTGATGGCACCGTGGATCAGGGGAACCAAAAATGTCAAAAATCACTATATTTGGGGTACTAATAAAAAAATACTAATAAAAAAAAAAACGTTCGATAATTGACCATTAACAGCTAGTAATGGTGTAAAAACGGCGTTCGCACCTATAGTGTTTTTAATGACTAGTGGGGTACGCCGTTCTGAACTGAAGTCAATGCGCACGCCTCCCTTCGGTCGGCGTTCGCACCTGAAACATGATGAAATCAGTGTCTCAGCTATCATAAGAAACATTTCTTTTAAGTGGCTCTTTTATATCAAAAGTTGTTATTGCACAGATTTTCTACCAACAAGTGAAATAGATTTTCAAGTTCGAACAATTAATCTGGATGATAAACAGATGAGTTTTTAGTTTTTTCGGACACCGCTAGGCAAGAAAACTTTCGATCGCTGGTTAATAATTATTTTCGAGGATTTTTCATTCTTTTCTGTGACATATACGGACTTAATTAATCTGTGAAAGAGATGTGCCTCAAAAGAAAACTTGTCCAAAAATCCAATAGTGTAACATTGTGACTAGCGAAAATGAGACCTACTTCGATAAGGGAACAGAGAGCTGAATTTGCTGTGTACACCTGAATTTACTACCTGCCTCTTTATTCATACTGATTTTTTCAAAAAATTAAATTTTTTGTGTATGGGACTCTCGTGGGACTTTTTGTGGAGTCGCGTAGGACTCCCTATGGATTTTTTGAGAAAAAAAACTCCCGAGGGAGTCCTGCGAGACTTCTGCCGGGACTCACTAGGGATTGTCTAAAGGTTGTTTTGCACCTCTTTTTCTTTCCTCCTCTCCAAAGTATACTCTTCGCCACAGAGAAATTTCTGTTGAAGGGTTTTTATCTTCCCCTTGTTTTTATATAGATTAAATCGTGTGAAAAAACCCTTTTTAACTTTTGTTTTTTCAGAATTCATTTGCATCTGGGATTTTTATTACGAACAGAATGAGATAATACTTGTATTGCCATTACATAAAGTATGTAAAATGTTAACCATTACTGAACCGATTGGACGAGATAAAAGTGAAAAATACTATAATATCTTCCATGCCCATTTTTCATGTCATTTTAATCTGTTCTATACACTTGATAAGACGTACGTAGTATCATATGTTTTTCGTACAATACAATTTTTGATTATATATGTCACAACAATAACTTCATGTTTAGTCATCACAACACAGCTGCAGACAATGATAGGCTAGGTATGCACCAGTTACAGTTTTTTACCAGTTAACTGTACTTGTAAAACTGTAAAACTCCTGATAATTTCATGGTAAAAGAAAAAGCGTCCAAAAGTTGATGGCAATTTTTTCGTCACATGTTGGTATGCTTTTTTGCTAGAAGGTTTTTTTCTGGACGAATTTTTTCGTATGGTTTTTTTGTTAGATGGAAAAACAAAATTTGAAAAGATTTCCAAATAATATTTTAGTCAGTTTTGAAATACTTTGGAAACATGCTTGACCGATCTGCTGGATCGATCCACTATCGCAGGAAACCAGCCGTTTCTGAGATAAGCTAGTGCAGTGAAACGAGTTATCTATGCAGTATGCACTTAAATACTATTCTTGAACGAATTTTTGTGGACTCATTTTTGTCGACGCTTTTATTTAGTATACTTTTCGTGAACGTTTTCTAGTGGGCGCTTTTCTTTTACCGTGTGCAACTGCTCATAACTGTTAGGCAAATATCCTAGAGTGAGTTAATCTTGTACGATTTGCATACATCTTAAGAGCGTTCTCAGTCTTAAAATGTATGCAAATTGTACAAGATTAACTCACTCAGTTACAGTCAACTGTAACTGGTGCATGTCTAATGATAAGCAAACTGGTTTTTTCCTGTTACATTAATTCCACTTTTACTTGGTCAAATTACAGATATCACCAGAAAAAATTGGAATCGGCATATGTATGCATCTCAGTTTACTCTGGGGAGAACTCGGATTCCAGTTTTCGCCAGCGAAATTTAGAATTTCAGCGAATTCCAGTTTCGCTACAACATATAAATGTGGAATATAAACAGTATAGATAGAGCACTATCTAAAACGATAAGAACTATCATTCGTCAACTGTTTGTGGGCTCCAAAAGACAAAAGATTCATTTCAAAATCGATTTTCTTGTCCGATAACTCTAAAAATCATAGTGCTCATATGTTAATGACCAATACTCATATGGTCATTACTTTACTTTCGGATTTATAATATATTCAATTTTTCGGAAGCCGTTGCTTTCCTCAAAAATTTTTCAGAAAGAACTGGAGAATCAGATTGATATTCCACGTATGTTCAGTTGATGTTGTTTTCTCGATCGAAATATTTAGAAATACAAAATTCATTTTCTGTTTACGTTTGTTCTGACGCGATTTTAGGACTTTTATTACGATAAACCTTACAATACCGCTAGAAAATGACTCACAATGAAAAACTTTAGGAAATCTTGATTTAAACCAATTTATTTAAAAAGTATAGCAAATAATAAAGAGCACAACGTATTCACTTCAGTATACTGTTAAAGTATCAATTAAGTAGACAATATAAGCAGGCTACGTGGAGAAAGAGAGGGAAGTGACAATAAGAAGAGCAAAGAAAGGCAAGCAACAACTGATAACCTAAGAGAAAAAGCATTTTTTTATGTACTTTTTCTCTTGTTTTATAGACAGAATAAAGGTATAAAACAAGAGAAAAAGTACATAAAAATCAAAAATAAGATAAAGAAGTGGTGAAGACCCGTAACGATACATCTAAAACAAAAACAGAAAAAAATGCTGCTGAGGTATCTTAAATAAGAAAAGAATAGTCAGGCATGTTTCATAAAGCGTTCATTATTTTTAATATAGGTTATCATTAATTTGTATAAAAAAAAGAAATCTTTGTAAGTGAGTTGTCCCTATTCACCATGATAATAAGAGTTAAAACTGCGAACATCGATTGAGCAGCATAGGTTATATCCGTACAATGGCTCTTAAACCATAAATAATTCTTTTGATTTTGATTAATACAGCAGATATACATCTAAAATTAATCATTTATCTTAACAACGCTGTCGCTAACTATGCAACAGGGAGAAACCCTGTAAGATAATTTCGTTTTTTTCCATAGTTTCTTACAAAGAATCGGTCAGAGCTGAACAACATCTAGAATTATAGAAAAAACTTTTCTGAAACAAATGAGATGTCTCCAGACTTTGTACGATCTTTCCTTAAAAAATTTAAAGAAAATACGAAAAACCTTAAGCAAAGTAACGTTTAGTAAGGTGCGAATAATTCAAAAAGTCGAGTCAAGCACCGTTGCTTTGGCACAATTCGATAACGCTCATCGAGTTAACAATATATTTTAGAAATTTTCAAAGTCATCAATAGAAGAAAAAAATTTGGATACTTATTTAATATTGGAAAAACCGATACTTTTTACTTAACTTTTAGAATTACTCGCATGGATTCAGAAAAGTTTTTTCTACAAGTCTAGATGTTGTACAGCTCCGACCGCTCTTTTATTGAAAAACTATGAGAAAAATGAAATTGCCCTACAAAATTCTCTCCGGAGTAGAATGTAAATGACCTCACTGTTATCTGACATTGTGTTCGCTTTTGTAGTTTAACATACGTTGTCTTTCTTCTAGATAATGATGTCAAAAATTGCGAATACTTTCAATGATTATTGTACAAACTATTCTGAAAATCAAGTTGTTAGAAGAAAAAAACAAAAACAATGTAATCATCAAACGTCAAGTAAGAAGAAAAAAACTGTAAGTATTAAAATATATTTATTATATCCATACATTTTAGTTGGATGTTTATAATTTTTATAATCTTAGTTCCACTATGAAGTTAGTGTATTGGAACAATTACCATGTGAATTATTTTTAATCATCTCCGAATATTTATCACCACAAGATTTAATTTCAGCATTTTATGATCTTAATCATCGTCTCAATTCATTTGTTCATCTTTCACCGTTACATCTTGATTTCTCAAAAATTTCTAAATCAAAATTTGATTATCTATGTAAAGCGATATCACCAAAAGCATTGAGATCATTAACATTGTCAAATGAACGCCAAACTTGTGGACAAATTTCACGATTTTTACACATGTTTGATGTTCAAAAATATTTAACTAATCTTCGATCATTAACAATTCTAGAACCAAAATTGAATCAACTAATGCAAATACTCAATAGGTACCGAAAAATAGATGATCTCATTTTTGTTTTCAGCATCAATTCTAGAGTTTTATTAGTTTTACGATAATGGATAATGTATTATATTCTCATTCTAGTCCTCTACATTCATTGATAACGTTAAAGATAACAGCATCAACAATTGATTATGAAGTATCGGGAAATATCTGTAGATTGATTTTATGTGATTTATCATCATTAGAAAAGTGTACACTACTGTTTAATGACCGACTTGATATGCAGGATTTGAATCAAACTATAGATAATATAACACATTTAACATGCAAAAAAATTATATTAGAAGACTTAATGAATAAAATAATTAAATATTTACCACATATTCATTATTTAGACGTTGAATTAGTTTCATCTGGAATACCCGTCGTTTTATCAACATTAGAACAAGATATTTCAACACTTGTGTCAAATTTATCATGTTTACAATTGTTAATTACTACAACAACATATCAAGAAGTAGAATTTTTGTTGAAAGGTAAGACCTTTTTTTAACATTTAAATTAGAAATTATTAAATATTAATTTTAATTATTTTTTTTTCCTTAATTATCTTTAGGTTTACCTCAATTGAAACAACTGTCGTTCAAAAAGTGTCATACTACTTTGAACGATGACATGATATTTGTCAATGGTAGTTCTTGGGAAAAGTTATTCTCATCTCATATGCCTATATTAACTGAACTCCAGTTTGATATAAAAGTTTATCATGATCAACATATGCATTATACTGCACTTAATAACTTACTCTTACCGTTTGAAACTGAATATTTTCTTAAACATGGCTGGACATTTCAGTTATACTACGATTCTAAAATATTAGGTCTTTATACTCAACCATATCCACATTCAACCTGTTCAACAACACTAAATCGTATAGAATCAACAAGAGGACCAGGACGGAGTGTACAAAATAACAGAGTCACATCTTTACACGTGTATAATACTGGACGAAAAAATCTCTACTATCCAAATGTTGAGTCATTATACGTTGAAAATTCATCAGATAATTACAGGTAAGTAACTCATTGATAATGAAGTGTTACATAATTTTAGATAAATATTTTTTAATTTTTCAGATTTTTTTTATTAGTAAAACGAGCAATTAATTGTCGAAAATTAAAGATGTTGAAATTACACGAGTCCAATGATGATGTTCAAATGATGGATTCGACAACACTCTCAAAACTTTTATATACATCTTCTCAATTACGAACACTAGATTTATCCATTTGTGAATTAATCGAATTAACTCAACACTTCAAACATGTTACACTTTGCAAACGTCTATCTCGACGAATACAACATTTAATTCTTAGTGATTATTATTGTAAACCGAATGACGTTAGTCTATTCATTGATACATTCTCAACAAATTTAGAATCACTTGATATTAGTGTAAATACGTTGAATGAATGCTGTGAAATTTTGGAATCTATTTTAGAATCAATGAGAAAGTTGAAAAATTTGTATGTAATATTTGGTCAATCGGAAAAAATAATTAGATTTGATTTTGATACATGGTTGATAAATAATACATCAGTGACAAATTTTATCTGTGATGTTAATGATGGATGTTTAAATTTATGGTTAGGTGATAGAGAAGACGTATTTATTGAGTAATCGTTATTTTTATCCATTCTGTTTGAATTTAACGTTTTCTAGAAATTCAACAAATAGCAACGAATAAACTGAAGAGTTATTAGGATAATAAACAGTACAAAAGATAAAAGAGAATAAGAAGTAAATAATTGCTATAAATATTTTATCTGAATAGTTTAATTCAACGTAATTGCTGACTTAGTCAAAAGTCATCGTCAGGCAATATAAAGAAAAAAATTTGTGAAATCGTAGTTGAATGATGACGTGTTTATTTTTCTTTATATTGCCTAGCGATAACTTTTGAATAAATTTGAAAGTTAGCAATTACATTGAATTAGACTATTTAAACAAAATGTTTACAGCGATTATTTAGTTCTTATTCCCCTTTAAACTAGAAAGTTAGCCGAGTGTAGAGTATGACACCGACTTTGTCTTTTTGAATACTTTATCTTATTCTATGATATCTTATCGCTATTTATTTCCGTAAACCCCCTCCCATATTCGAAGCCCTCCCTTTATCAGGAGCCCCCTTTGGGAGATCTTTTCAGCAAAATTTTCAGTTTTTCTCAGCAAAACTCGGCCAAAGTTTGCACGGCCAGATAGAAGTCTCCAGGGGCTTCTAATATAGAACGAGGTTTAGAAAGATATATCCGTTCAAGAACCTCTCTTCTCTGTCAGAATTATGTCATTTTTTACAAAAAGTTGATTTTGAGCTAAGTGGACGGATGGGTAGGCCATGATGTCTGTTCTTTTGGTTTTTACAATGTGAAAGATTTCTGAGGGTTTCTTGAAGCAGTTTTCTAAAAGTCTACAAACTGATTTTTATGAAATTCTAATATTCCACTAAAATACTAAAATCAAAAAGGCTTTCAATGATGTTAATTTGTAAAGCAAACATATCTCGTTAAAATTTGATGTCTACCTGCTGTGAGCGATGATTTGATGAAAAGTTATAATAGAGCCCTAAAATCTATACCATACACTAGTGTCATCGTATCTCAAAAGCGTTTTTTGCCCTTAGGACTGTTGCCATGCCCTAAAAGTTTCCGTGCAAATAGATCATGAAGCGCTCGAGTTGGGTTCAGAATGAACCAAACACATGTAGATAGAATTTGACAGAGCTCGACTTTTGAATGCTTTTTTGCTCTAGTTTTCAACAGAGTAAAGAATTATTAAAATTCTCCTCGAGAGTTTTTGAGATCTTTGAGTTTAATCTAAACTGTTTATTAATGATGATGTAAGAGAATAAGCCTGTCTTTGAGTTTTAAAGCCTGTCAAAAAATCAATAATGCAAATATTCAAAAATTGGGCTCTGTTAACCTCTAGTCACATGTGTTTGCTTTTTTTGAAATCAATTTACCTGGAAGAAAAATTTGGGGAAAAATGAGCAGTTTCATTTTGGCTACTGTTGTGGTGACATTTCGTGAACGAAGACAGATGAAGTCAAAAATAATTTTTCTTACCATACAGGAGCAACATTCTCTGAAATTTTCTCACGCTCCGATTTATAGTTGTCAAGATAGGTTTCTATCAGAGCCTCAAGAGTCTGCGTTCGATACGGCTTCACTTCTCTTTTTCTTTCAAAACTGGATGCATTCAGATGTTTTTTTTTAAAACATTAAATATTTCAACATTTGCGTTTTTAAGTGTGTCTAGACATATTCAGATTCAATCGCTGCGACGCGTATCTATGTTTTATTTTGAAACGGTCGAGTACACTGTCTGCAAGACAATGCGTGTTTACGGCCGTAGACACGTGTAAAATGAAACGTCTGACTAAAAAAAAATACTCAAATTCCTCTCAAATGTTAAAGGCATATGATCCTGTTCAAGTAAATGTAAGTATAAGGAGATAACTATCTATTCTATAGATTAGTTAAACGCTCCCACCATATTGGACAACCAAGTGAACATTTAAGGGAAAAAAACTGATTTTGACGTGTTTTAGTTTTGATTGGCGGATCATTTAGTTGGATCACTTGACTATTATTTCCTAAAATAATAATTTTTATCTCCAGAAAAACAATGAGAAAACTTCAGCTAAAAATTCATATTAAAATCAATATCAAGACTGAAACTTAATTTTTTATATAAATGTTAATTAAATATTTGTATTTAAAATGATCCCAATGACAAGTAATGGTCAAAATCAAAATTGAACTCGAGAAGAAAAATTCTTTTTCTACACCAGATACGTTACTGAAAACCATGTCTTCAGTTAATTTGCCTTTACTACATCTATGGTTTTAGCGTTAAACAGCGCCATCCTTGGTTATAGATTTACCAAAACGTTTACGATTTACCTAAACGGTATTATAAGAAAAAGTAAGATCATATTCCGAATTAGTGCGTCGATTTGCATCAAACCATGAATAAAACAATAAGTTCTGGATGGACTAACTATCAGTCAAAATGTTTACCCCATGAATGCACGGGTGGCAGTGTTTAAACTCGTTACGAGATGAAAACGGGGGGCGGCATGCTGAGAGTGAATGGACATGAACGCTACAGCACCAAGTTTTTAAACGCATACGAGTTCAAAACAGCTTCCCTGGCCTCCCCTATGCTATATTAGAACATAACACTCAGTTGAACTCGTAACAAGTTTTTAAACTCGTACGAGTTCAAAACAATCAAAACTAAATGCACGGAAGCCTTTTTTCATCTCGCTACGAGTACGAATTTAACATGAAGTCCATGAACGAGTAAGTCCCGCTTTTTCTCAATTAAGTAATTTTTTTTTCTGAAAACGTTTATTTATTCTTTAAAAGCATCAGCAATGATATGTATTCGTTGCAGTGGAAACCAAAATCTAGGGCGATTTAAAATTCCCCTAGGGGAAATCAAAATTTTGACTTCCCCTATAGGGCAATTTTAAATTCCCTTAACAAGTGTTTGATTGATATTTAGCATACTGATATTGATAATTTATTCAAATAAACAAACAGGGAACAGGAACAGAAAACAGAAAAAAAGTATATATGCAAACATTGACATTTTTTCTTTGGATGGCACTTTGTGCAACATAAAATACCTTTAGATTTACATGGACAAGCTTTAGTTGAACATGTTCATTTACAATTACAACTTGATGTACCTAAATTTGCGTACTCTTTGCATGCTTGTATGAAAGTTAATTGTGGTAAATTGCTTGGATTAATTAAATGGATTGAATAGAAACAACTTTACATGGTAAAATTGTGGGTGTAATATTTGAACGATCAACTTTATCTATTTTCAAACCAACAATATCTCCTGCTTTGTATTCTTTTAATCTATGTGATCCATCATAAATGCGTTGTCGTTTAGTAGCTACTTTTAAATACTCTTTATAACTTTTGCTTCTTCTCTTACATGTTTATGTCTATCAATAGCTTGATGGTCTACAGTTTCACCAATACCATCAAAAACCATATCCATGTCAATATTCTCATGATCCTTTGATGCTAAAATAAGGAAAAAAATGTCAAATAAGAGAAAAAGGTACGCTCCAACTTCTTACTTCTATCTGTTTTCAAATCTTTGTCGAGACAAAGTACTGGTGAGTTTTGATGTTGTGACTTTGTACCATCATAAATTTCGTCATTAGCTTGATTTGTACTACCATCGGGTTCACATGATGTAGTTTCTAAAGAGCAACGAGTTCAACCTAAATTATAGTTTTGATTACACAAAAGCTTACGTTCATTGAGCATTTGAATAAAATCAGCTGGCATTTGTTCTTTATCTTCAATTCCATCATCACTTAACATTCTCCACATTTCGAAATCGGATCTTGGCTTCTGACCAAACACCACTTCATACGGAGGTTTTTTAGTAGTTTGTGCACAACTGGTATTAATTGAATAAACAACGGGTTTTAGACCTGTTCAAGAAAAAAACAGGATAGACATAGTATTTTGAATTTGTTAATTACAAAGCTTGTCAAACCTTTTGCCCATTCTATTGTATTATTAGACTGCATCCATTTGCCAAGCGACAATTGTAATGTATGATTAGCTCGTCCGACTAATTTTTGTGTTTGCGGATGACGAGGTCTACCATTTATAATGACAAAATCTTTCCACGTATTTCTTAAATCCTTCAAAAAACATGTTTGCAAGTTAATACAAAAAAGTACATTAGTGTGTGCGCTGTTTTTTACCTTAATAACTTGTGCGACGAATTCTTTCCCATTATCGAACTGTAAAATTCGAGGTGGGCCAAAACTATAAAATTGATCTAAAAGCTTTAAAGCAACTGGTGCTGCTTCTTTTGTTTGTAATGGATATGCCCACGAAAATTTGATACTTTCACATGTAATATTCATTTGAATTCTCTATCTGGAACACTACGCATGTCGATTAAATCCATTTGTACACGTGTGAGATATCCAACAGATATTATTGGTTTACCTTAAAACGAAACAAAAACCAAGTTCATTGTAGTTGCAATTAAAAAAGTTAATTAAGCCACAGTCCGTACCTGCTATTGGCTTTGGAAAAGCTTGTCTACTATTACAAACATCACCTTGTTTAAAAAATAATGTTGCTACATCATAGGGTATGTATGAATATTGTTCTTGCATCTAAATATCAGAAGTCGTCATTTTAATGTTTAGTTTTAATTACCTTGAAAACCTACTTCACTCCAGGTTTTGTCCCGTCCATGATGACCAACACGTTCGTGACATTCCTTAATTTTTGTATACAATTGCTCATGCACAACAACAAGATGGTTACTCTTGATACCATATACCGCGTCAACATCACCAATTTTCACTAAATTAAAATTTGTTTTAACCCAGAATTTAAACTGTGCGTTACCTTTACTATATTTACAAACTATTATGATATCATCATACGTTTCTTGTTTTATTGTGTACTTTGAACGATATTGCTCAGAGAGATTTTGTATATGAAAATATAATTTTTGATAAAATATCTCAATATAAAATAAGGATAGAACAGTAAAATGAGTTAAGGATATTGGAGATTTTTATACGGCAAGACAAAATGTTTTTCTGTTTTCAAATTAATTGATTAAATGTGGTTGATTAAATAATTGATTAACTTCTCATGCTATGCAAAACGTTCTGCTTAAAACGAACTTATCAATTAATTAGTTTGTTATATTTGAATAAATTATCAATATCAGTATGCTAAATATCAATCAAATACTCGTTAGGGGAATTTAAAATTGCCCTGTAGGGGAAGTCAAAATTTTGATTTCTCCTAGAGGAATTTTAAATCGCCCTAGATTTTGATTTCCACTGCAACATATTCATGGAAAAAGGGTTAACGAGGAAAAAAATTGTGCTGTCCGTCTGCTTTTTGAAAATGCTCACTGCGTCCGCGTACTATTGATTTTAAACTTTCACCGAATTTATTTATGATCTCATAATAATCCTGTAAAAAACAATATCTAAATGACTGTCCAGATAAATGTGATAAAGTAAAGCTTTATCATCGAATTTGATAGAACACTTTTTAAATAAAAAATTATTCCAGTTAATTGTTTCACGTTTTCGATCATGATGAGTCGAAGAGAAATTACTGAAAAATTTTGGAGCAAGTGTACACGTCGCCTCGCTCGTCACGAGTGAAAATACTTGTTTTTTAATATATCGATTTTGCTCGTATTTCTTTTCTGATGGCGGGCGCATAACCAACTGCAGATAAATGGATTTGTAGACCAAATATTGCTCTATCTTAACTTGTGAACGCGAATTAGGTGTTGCTTAGTTTGGAACAGTTGAAAATGCTGACATCATAGTAAAATCATTAACGTCAATAGTACCAAACATCTTCAAAGATGCCATTTCTTTGAAATGATATTTCTAACCTTCAAACGGTGAATTTTGTGGTTATTTAAATAGCTCTTTTGAGTGATGTAAAGAGATTCAAAATCTAAATTTGATCAAAAGTTCCAATGGCTAGTACTTCCACGAACTGTATCTTAAACACTAATGAAATTTTACTCCCACAATTCATGATCTATGCAGTTTGACTAGTATTTTGCCGAATAATTCGAAGCTGATTTTATACAATCGGCGTACATTAGTGTGATATGAACATAGATGGGATCGATTTGGTTTGAACCGTCTGTTTGCCTAGAATTCTAGAAAAATTTGAAGTTCCTGCCGAAAAAGTGGTCCGGTTTGGTTAAAATCCTGAAAACCTCGAACTGATCCCATCTCTGATACTAAACTAGAAAAATGAATAAATAATGAATAAACCTTTCGATCCATCACAGCAAGAGGCAAAGTTGGTGTGTATAGATAGAAGCGAGGAATCCAGTTCCAGAAACGAACGTCACTTGTGAAAAATTTCATCGAACATTGTTCACATTATCTTAACCGTTATAGAGATGTTTTTTATTCTTCTCATATGTACTCGTCGACATATGGGCGCCTATTAAAAGAACAAAAAAAAACTCACAAACTTGATTACGCCATTGGTTTTTACGTTATTTTTTTTCTTCTATAAAAGAAGAAAAAAACAGAAAAGCTTGGAATTTTGTTAAAGCACTTCTTTATTCAGAAACATATGCATATTTTTATCTGCTATGGACATTGTTTCATCCTTTCCTCATAGACTCCGGAATATCGATGTGACATATTATATGCTGCTACTTTTACACATGGCCATTTAACTTTTATCATGTAATAAAGTTGTATCAAAACAAAATTCTGCTATACGTTATGGGTAAATTATAGAAAAACAACTGCAACCACTGTTTATGTAGGTTTGTAATTACTATTTTCATATACGAAACGTTTTTCCTTTACTTTGTTTAACTGATTTAAAACTGCATTCAACAGCAACTCAGTATGACTTACTTGTGAAAGAAGGGAGAAGGACAATAGATTCTTATTTATTCATTTTACTTCATGATCAAAGAAAATTTTTGATACTGTAGAGAAGAAAATACTACTTGTATAATGTAGAAATAATGAAACAGAAATGCAAATGATCCAAATGTCTCGGATCGTTGAGAAGCTTAGTGAATTGTCTGATAGAGAATTAACACAAAATCCAAGATGAGTAAGGAAAGGAGATTAGCCAGTTATAGTCACTGTAACAATTATAAGACAATAATAGGTTTTCTACAAAATATAGCCATTTTTCCAAACAGAAAGATTATAACAAAGAGAACAGATGATTATTTTAACCCTTTGAGTACGATTGCTCGACCATGATAACTAGGGACTTCTAATTTTGTGGTCATAGCTCTTACCGAATACTGATCACTCACTTTCACTAACTTTGGGCTTCTTTTACTAGATGGTTCCGTGAGATGTCAGCGGTTCATTTCTTTTCTGTAAAATGCTAATAACTCCTGATCCAAGAAACGTGAAGCTTTCCCTTTTTAAGAAAATACAGCACTGCCTCTACTCTATCTATGATACGAATTTGAAGTGTTAGCTCTTAATAGTTAATGAAATACAACTATTTTACGATAGAGAGTCACTTTTGAAGTTTGAGATCCTCTTCCAAAAAAATTCAGCCTAGGAATATTATTTACACTTCAAAATTGCACCAGATCCTCTAAAATGTCTTTAGATTATTCACACAAAGCATGAGAGTTAACTATTGTATGATTCGAGATATTCATTGAAAATGAGCACCCGCCACTGAAACATACATAGGAAGGCAAGGATGAGGAACCAAGGGTCGTCCATTCTACTATATCTTCTGTGGTTAATATTCGTCATAATCGTGTAAAAAGTATAGTAATGAGAAATTAGGGAGAAAATATCCCTAGATAAAATATTATTAAGAAGACGTCGTCGCACTGAACCTAACCCTCGCTTATTTCATTTATTTTCCGTCTTTTTTACTTCTCATATATTTGCAAGCAAAATTAATAACATACTAGAGATCAACAGACAGAACTACATCGTCACATCTCGATATCTTTTTGTGGTCATGAGTTATTCGGAAATCAAGAAACTTAAAAAAAGCATCCTGAATTCGGGACGCTGGTAAACAAGATTTAAACTGGGCAACAGGTGCGGTTTTCTAGGAGTATCTTGTGTCAGAAGATGCTTTAGAATAGTTGGAATTGAGAAAGAGGCATTCTGTTGTTTTTTATCTCCATAGATATTGTAGACAAGTAAATTTTCTACGGTATAATAATGACTCGAGGCCTACTCCACCTGCAATTGTATCTTAATGAATAAAAGCCATCCAGTATGATCTTCGAAGTGAGGCATTGCAAAGACTGACTGTTTAACAAAAGAGACGCTGGAGAAAGACAATGAGAAGAACGGTCAAAGACAATTTAGATGCATTTCTTTGTGTTAAGCCCAACAAGCATACTCGAGCACCAATCTATCACTTTATCAATTTCCTCTTGAACAAGAAAAAAGCAAGATTTTGTGTTAAAGTATTGCAGCAAAAAACGTCATCAGCGAACAGCGAAGTAATACTGGAGGCATGCAAAATGGTAAGCTCAATAATAAATATTAAAAACAGTAATGCACCCAACAGACTTCCTTGGGACACATCTCACGTCATAACCCACCACAAGATGAGAGAGGGCACCGCTCATTTTTACTTTCTGGATCCGATTTTCTAAACAGGATCAGTTTGAGGAAAACCACACAAGGAACTCTTTCTTAATAACAGCACCATGCAGATTTGTTAGAAGGATTTGAAAGGAAAGCTTATCATACGCCTTGACGAAGTCGTAAGAAACACCAGCTGAACGTATGGGAATTGTTTTATCCATTGATCGATGAATATCATTTCAAAAATGTGATGAGTAAGATAGGCGAGAGCATCGATAGTGGAAGATTTATGCCTCACTGGTAATTGTGAGAAAAATTGTTTGATTTAAATGAACGGCTACCTTGCTGTAAATCACTTTTTCAAAAACTTTACTCACATCTGATAGAAGCGAGCCACACTTGGCTAATGGTGTCAATGACATAGGCGGACTTCGAGAGGGACCTGCTTGTTGAGAAGATGAGTTTCTGAAATGCTGGCTAAATAATTTGGCTTTTTGTTTACTTTCGCTCGCAATTTTAATAGTATGGTTTGGCACCAAAATACTTCATCAAATTTGTGGAATTATTACCTTGGATATTCGTTTTACTTTTGCCAAGTAATTTAATCTTCATGACCCTCTCAGAAAAAATTCTCTGCTATAAATTTTGATGAGATTGTAGTTTAGTTTTGTTATCTCTCGACGAACATTGTAGCACAATCTTCCCAACAGTTAACCGAACGATAAAGGCTTTTTATGCTATTTTTATAGGCACTAGACAAGGCGTAACTAGTAATGGAAGAAGAACAAATGTACTTTGTGTGACACGATCGGGACTTTCGTCACGAAATGCGCACAATCACATAGAAACAAAAAAAGTTATCTAAATTTTCTTTCTATTTTGCAGCATATCAACCAATCTTTTCGCAAGCTATAGAGAATATGGCATTGATTCCAATTGTTATGATAATTTTGTTACTTATACTATCAACGTGCTCATGTGCAGCGATAAGTTCCAGTGAATCTACTATTCAAACAGAACAAAATGTAGACGGACCAAAATACGGTAGTCAAGCTAAACGTCTTTTTCAATCTCATAATTACATTTCTACTCATAAAGCGCTGGATTATTGGGCTATTAGTCCGTACTATATTGCTCAACAAAACGAACGCTCTTGTTCTGTTGCAAGCATTACAATGATTGTGAATGCCGCTAGAGTAGCGAAAACGCTTACGTCAAATGAAGAACTTGCAACTCAACAATCTATTTTAAATCGAGTAAATAGTCAAGAATGGAACAGACAAGTCAGCTCTAATGGTATTGGTGTAACTCTCAATCAAATGAAACAACTGGTTGAAGCAAGTCTTAAAGCATTTAATATACAATATATCTCGGTTGAAATTATTCACACTATGGATTTGTCAGAGGAAACAAAACAAAAGTTTCACAAGATTTTAATCGAAAATGAGAATTCTTCGACAAACTTTCTCATTGCAAATTTTGACGGTAGCATTATTTTCGATGATGTTCAATACGGTCATTTTGCACCCATTGCTGCATACGATGCTGATCATAGTCAAATTCTTGTGATGGATCCTGAACGTCAGAATTATGAACCATACTGGATATCTGAAGATATGTTGCTTCACGCAATGGTAACACAAGATCCAGAAAGTGCTCAGTATCGAGGCTATATATGGATAAAAATCTTTGAATGATGAAAAAGATCATCAGTAGCTTAAAACATTGGTTTATGGTGAATATTTCGCATAGAAAGACTAGTTCCCAAAAATAGTACCAATAGTGGTGAAAACTAAATGATATTTAAGTTTCATGAGAGCTACCATTTCAGAGTTATTGTAATGATAACAGCAACTTGTTTTGACTTCATTTTTGTTACAACTCATTTTTCGCTCATACGAAGTGTGTTACAGTTTGAAATAAATTTATTTATTTTTACTTCGTAATTAAATTGTTTATAAATTAAACGTGTCGAAGTATTAGTACTAGCCCTTTCACAAGCGAAACCGATTTTCGGAAAAATTTTCTCAGTCGGTTTTCTAGAGGATCTTTTGAAAACTAGCTTGAATTTTTTCAAATTCAAATAACAGTCTGTTGATTTTTTGAGCGCATATATAGTCCGAACTGTCCTCTACAAAACTGGATCTAAGTATAATCTTGAAAACTCATAGTTCGGGAGCTATGGACGTTTTCTCTGAAGTCTTAGCACTCCTCTGCCGTTAGGTTTGGAACTGTCAGAAATAAATGAAAACATAGATTATCGACTATGCTGAATCTCATGACAATGTTAGTTTTTAGAACAGGATGCAAGAACCGAGTGAAAAGCTATACTAGGTGAATTTACCCATTTTTGATTATTGTCATCAAAAATTAAATAATTCATAATTCAGTCAAAGTCTATTCAACCTACTAGAGAATGGCAGGAAATACTCTGTTTTATCCGCTCATTCTAATTCTGTGCGTAAAATCTATAAAAATATTCTTTTGTTTAAGTTAAACGTGTCGAAGTATTAGCTAACTCTTCATCAGTAACAAATATAAATTTCAGGAAAAATTACGTCCAGAGAAAAACACGAAATTAAAGACATACTGTACAATGATAACACAAGTTTCAGTTTCAAGTTGACTCCTTTTTATAAACTGCTCCATCTTTTTCATTTTCATCTACTTCGTATATTTGACTCTGTTTTGTTATGACAAACCAAATCTGTTATGATCTCGTCGTGTAGTTGACACGTCGTCTGTGTCTTTATTGTCATATTGCTTTTTCTTTTCATCTTTTTTCTTCTTTCGATTCTTCTGCAATTTATATTTACTTTCTTGTAAAATCAGCAGCTGTACTTTGTCAAATCACCACATATATACAGAATTCTGTATACACGACATTTTCACTTGGTTGATCTTCCTGTCTTTTTAAAGCTGATTTCTTCGTTTTATTCAAATGCATTCCAAGTGTTTTATTGTGGGTCACAGATATCTGAATTTTTGACTGAAGTAATTTGCGTAATTTCCGTTATTACTTCCGTTGTTCCACTCAAATAGGGCATCACAACTATAGCTACTTGTTCTGAATTTTTCCTTTGCTCATTTTGCGTTGAGTCGGAGATATAATTTAACGAACGATTCCGCATCCGTTTAGAATAGTTACCAAAGCTCTCTATGGATTCAAAATTCTGAGTAGACAAAATAAAATCAGCAGCTGTACCACTAAATCAAACCCATTTCTAGATAATCGAAGTCCACTGCTGAAACATTTTTATTATTGAATGAGAAATCGGCAATCAAGTAGATGGATTCCTGATGCTATCGTGGAAATCTGTTCATCCTTGATCAAAAACAATTTGACATCAATACTTAAAACAGTAACTATCAGAGCTTCATATGGGCCGGACTGAAAATTTTTTGAGTTCATGGACTCGGACTAGACTGGACTCGACTCAAACTTTCGAGCTCATGGCCTGGTCTGCACG